TACAACAAAATTAGAAATAAGGGCAAAATAGTTTCTGCTGGGTATTGAGTGGGGGGAGGGGTGGAGTGGGTGGTAAGGGAGGGGGTGGTGGCAGGGGGGAGAAATGAACCAAGCCTTGTATGCACATTTGGATAATAAAAGAAAAATGAAAACAAAAAAAAAAAGAAGACCATGGGAGATCTTTCCATCTTCTGATGTCTTCTTCAGTTTCTCCCTTCAGTGGTTTATAGTTACATAGGTTGGCAGAATTAACATTGTGAAAATGGTCATACTACCAAAAGCCATCTACATGTTCAACATAATCCCTACCAAAATTGCAATGACATTGTGCACAGAAATAGAAAAATTGATCTTGAAATACATATGGAAACAGAAAAGACCTCAAATAGCTAAACTAATTCTGAGCAAAATGACCAGTGCCGGAAGCATCACAATATCTGACTTCAAACTATACTACAGAGCCATAACAATAAAAACAGCATGGTGTTGGCACAAGAACAGACATGAAGACCAATGGATCAGAATAGAAGCCCACATAAGCCCACACATCTGTACCTAACTGATTTTTGACAAAAGAGCCCAAAACACATGATGGAGAAAAGATGCCTCTTCAACAAATGCTGATTGTCATCCAGTCAAAAAAAAATTAACAAATAAACTCTAAAATTGAATGACACCATAAATCTAATGGAGCTGACAGACATCTACAGAGTATTCCATCCTGTAACAGCACAATATACATTCTTCTTAGCAGTCCATGAAACTTTCTCCAAAATAGACCATATTTCAGGTCACAAAGCAAGTCTTAACATTTCTAAGAAAATTGAAATACCCCCTGAGCACTGTCTGACCATAACACAATAAAACTAGAATTCAACAACAAAAGAAACAACAGAAAATACTCAAACAACTGGAAGCTAAACAACACATTGATCAATGATCAGTGGGTCATTGAAGAAATAAGGGAGAAATATAAAAAATTCCTGGAACTTAATGAGAATGAAAGCACACCCTATCAGAATCTATGGAATACAGCAAAAGCAGTCCTAAGGGGAAAGTTTATAGCCATGAATGCATATATTAAAAACACAGAAAGATCTTAAATAAATGATCTAATGCTGCATCTCAAACTCCTAGAAAAGCAAAAACAAGCTAAATACAAACTTAGCAGGAGAGAAATAATAATAAGAATCAACAAAATAGAGACCAAAAAAATCCAGATTTACAAACACCTGACAATTCTGACTAAAAGGAGGGAAAAGACCCAAATTAATAAAATTAGAAATGAAAAAGGAGAAATAACAACAAACACCCAGAAAATCAAAGGAATCGTCAGGGACTACTTTGAAATCTATATGACTATCCAAAATTGAACCAACGTGATATTAAATACCTAGACACATCTAAAACACATAATGAAATTGAAGCAGAAATAGTCTCCCAAAAAAGAAAAGTCCAGGTCCTGACAGATACACAGTCAAATTTTAACAGATAATTAAAGAAGAAATAATACCAATACTCCTCAAACTTTTCACGAAGTAGAAAGGGAAGGAACACTGCTAAACTCATTCTATGAAGCCATTTTTACACTCATCCCAAACCTGACAAGAACACAACAAAACAAGAATTACAGGCCAATCTCTTTAATGAACAGAGATGCAAAAATCCTCAATAAAATATTGGCAAACCAAATTTAACAGCATCTCAAAAAGATCATAAACCACAATCAAGTGGGCTTCATCCCAAGGATAGAGGGATGCTTTATCATATGCAAATCATTAAATGTAATACAGGACATTAACAGAAGCAAAGACAAAAACCACATTATCATCTCAATAGATGCAGAAAAAGTCTTCGTTAAAATTCAACATCCTTTCATGGTAAAAGTTCTGATGAAACTAGGAATAGAAGGAAGGTACCTCAACATAATAAAGGCTATTTATGACAAACCAACATAATAAAGGTTATTTTAGCCAACATCATACTAAATTAGGATAAGCTGAAAACATTCCCTCTAAAGTGAGGAATGAGACAAGGGTGTCCACTCTCTCCAACAATGAACAGATTGAGAAAGAATATAGGAAAACAATTGCATTTACAATCACCTCAAAAAATACTTAGGAATAAACTTAAGAAAGGATGTGAAAGACTTCTATAAGGAAAAGTATAAACCATTGAAGAAAGATATCAAAGAAGACTACAGAATATGGAAAGATCTTCCATGCTCATAGTTTGGTAGAATCAACATGGTGAAAATGGCTATATTATCAAAATCAATCCACAAGTTCAATGTAATTCCCATCAAATTCCAATGACATTCATCACAGATATTGAAAAATCAACCCTAAAGTTCATTTGAAAGCAAAAAAGACTGCAAGTAGCCAAGGCAATACTAAACAAAGAGTAATGCTAGAGGTACCACAATACCTGACTTCACTATACTAAAACACAAAGCAATAAAAACAGCATGGTATTGGCACAAAAACAGATATTAAGACCAGTGGAACAGAGTACAAAACCTACATATGAATCCACACAGCCATGCCCACCTGGTTTTCCGCAAAGGAGTGAAAAACATACGATGGAGAAAAAACAGCTTCTTCAACAAATGTTTCTGGGAAAAATGGATTTGTGCATGCAGGAAACTGAAACTAGATCCATGTCCTTCACCCTGTAGAAGTATAAACTCCAAGTGGATTAAGGACCTTAATATAAGGCCTGAAACTTTTACACTAGTACAGGAAAGACAAGGGAACACATTGGAATTAACAGGCATAGGCAATGACTTCCTCAACAGAACTCAAATGGCTCAGCAACTAAGAGAAAGGATTGACAAATGGGACTACATGGAATGAAAAAGCTCTATCCAACAAAAAAAGGTCTCTAAATTGAAGAGGCTACCTATAGAATGGGAGAAAATTTTTGCCAGCTATACATGTGACAAGGGATTGATAACCAGGATATACAGGGAGCTCAAAAAACTAAGCTTCCAAATTTCAATGACCCAATGAAGAAATGGGCAAAAGAACTGAATAGAGATTTTTAAAAGGAAGAAGTACAAATGGCTAAGAAACACATGAAGAAATGCTCAACATCCCTGGCCATAAAGGGAAAGTAAATCAAAACCATGTTAAAATTCCACCTCACTCCTGTTAGAATGGCTACCTTCAAGAACACAAACAACAACAAATGTTGGAGAGGATGTGAAGAAAAAGGAATCCTCATACACTGCTGGTGGGAATATACATTAGTACAACCACTATGGAAAGCAGAATGGAAGCTCTTCAAAAGACTAAAAATAGAATTTCCATATGATCCTGCAATTCTGCTCTTCAGGATGTACCCAAAGGACTGTAAGTCAGGTTACAACAAAGTTACTGGCACACCCATGTTTATTGCAGCATTACTAACAATAGCTAAGCTATGGAAACAACAATATGCCATACCACTGATGAATGGCTTAAGAAAGTATGGTATTTATATACAATGGAATTTAATTCAGCCACAAAGAAGAATGAAATTTTGTCATTTGTAGGTAAATGGGTGGAACTGGAGAACATCATTATAAGTGAAGTTAGTCAGATTCAGAAGATCAAAAGCCACATATTTTCTTTCACATGTGGAATATAGACCTAATACAAATACAGCAATATTACAAAAAACAGGTCAAGCTATGGGGAGGCCACATATGAAGGGAGGGGGTAAAAGAAGGAAGTTAAGATTGATTGATGTACTCTTTATACAAGAATGAATATTGAATTTTTAAACTGGCTGAAATCCCATAAGAGAGGAGAAGGTAGAAAGAAGAAAAATGGAAGAAATGAACCATATCAGGCTATAAATCCCTGTGCAGCTATCTTAAACAAGCAAAAATGTCATTGTTTCTTTTCTTTTACAAAATCAGAGAATAGGAGGGCAGAAGAGGTCCTGCCTGTCGCAGGGGGATTGGTACCAGTGTGAGGGAGGATGAGGTGGGGAAAGGGTGTAGGAGGGTGAATATGGTTTAAATGCTGTGTGTACATGCATGTAAACAGAAAAATGATACCTATTCCAGAAATGGGGGGAGGAAGGGATAAAAGAGAGTGGTAGAGGGGGTCTATTTGAAGAACCTTTGTAAATATCACAATTTACCCCTACCCAGCACAAGGATAAAAAATTTAAAAAATAAAAAGAAAATATATCAGATATAAAGAGAAACAACATAAGAAATACAATCTTGGATTATATACAGCGCAGCCTCTAAATCTGGGGTCCTTTTATTTCAGAGTAGGTAGCAAATTGTCCTCTTCTTGCTTCTCTCTGGTGACCTTTCCTCAATTGCCTCTTTAAACGACTTGTGCCATGGTAGCAAAGGGTAGACATGGATGTGGAATTGGCTTTATTCCACTCCTCCTTTTTTTTGGTAACCATTAAGTATGTGTAGCCTTCCCTAACTTCTCCCTGCCCATTCTGCTATGTGTCCCTTTGTGGCAAACACAGGCTAGCATTCAGACACACTGGGCCCCTCAGGATGAAGGCAGCTGAAATTCAGGTGTGAAGCCCACTTCTCTTACCACTGATCACTAAAAGCCTTAATCAGCACCTCTTCAGGGCACTGCCAAACCAATTTGTGAATGACAAAGCAGTATTAGTTTCCAAGTCACAGTTCTTTCTAAATCATTCACAGAAAAGTATAAATAATTAATGCTAAAGAATTATAGAAATGTGTTCCAAAGAAAGCTTTATTCACAGCTGTTAAGCATATCTCTAGTTGAAACACTTGAGCATCTATAGAAAATACTGAAGTTGGCATATCTCTAACAAGTAGAATGCATTTTAAGAAGTTGGCTTTGGGTCTCATTCCTCTTCACTATCTTGAGATATGTCTATTTTTAATCCATCTTTCAATATATCTCCATGTGCATAAGTAGTACACAAACACACACACATACAAGGACAGAATAGGAAGACAGAAAAGCACCAGAATTGAGTTTGACCAAAGAGGAAACACCAAGACTTACTGGAGCTGCTGAGTTTTTGACAGTGACACTGGGGGTAGTAGCTCGCAGGGCTCCACTCACCCCATGGTAGTATTTGAAGCAGATCTTAGTTTCAGCTGAAAAACAGAAATAAAATGAGACTGAGAAGCAGGGTATAATCCCAGAAGAGACAGCCATGGATAGAGATGACATTTCCAGAACTGCAACCTCCCTCCCTCCTCCCATGAGCCAGCCAAGCCACACCTGGTGATTATAGCTTCATTGACAAGTCTGACTTTCTAAACATATGACATCATACATTGTTTTGGCCTTAACATTTTTATGCCCAAATTAAATCCATTATTTAGACAACTTAGCATTCATTCTATCCCATTGGAAGTTGTTGCTTTTAAACCATTTTTCTAAAAGTTTAGGTAGTTTGATGCCGACAACCAATCTGTTTCTTCATAATTGCCTATTATTTAATTCATTGCAATTACCTTCGTGGTGCTTTTAAGGAAGACTTTGAGAAAATGCTTTTCCATATTTTCTAAACTTCTCTATATATCAATGACAACTTCTTTGCATTATGATTTGTTTTCCTTCAGAGTTCTATAGTTGGTAAGCAGAAGAGATAACGCTTTGAATTGGAACTTCAGCTTCACTATTTACTCTATTTGCTCTGTGAGACAACAAGCAAGTCTTTTTACCTCTATGTAGCCCACATTCCTTATGTGTAAAGTGGAATGAACAAGAATATGTACCTCATGAGATATTGGGTAAGCAAATAAAAACTTTTAGTTCAATACAGTGTTCAGTAAACGTTAGAGATGATGAGGATTTGGTGACTAAACAATGACATACTCCATTGCCTTCTGGTATTTAGTTTTATACATGAAAAAATTTCAGGTGACCTTTTTAGTTCATTTGATAGTGACCTGTTTTCCAAATTAACTCTTTATAGGAATTTTTTCTTAAACTTTGAAAACTTTAACAGGCTACATCTTGGGCCATTATATTAATTTTGTTTGGAGCAACATGAGGACTCTTCAATTTGAGATTCTGTTTCTCAAATCTGGGGTTTGTTTCAATCATATAGTTTAAAAATAATGCCCAAAATTTTCTTAGCATATATTTAAAATTGGTCATTACAGAAAAAGGAGAAAACTATAAATGAAATAAAAATCTTCTATGAGTTTCTGAATATTTGGAAGGATACACTTTGTATAGTAATGCATTTCAATGTCTCTAAATTAACATTCTTAAGCATAGTCAACTATTATTTAAAACATTTTAGATAACATTCCTTGTTTTGTGGGACTGTTAAATAGATTTATAATGTATAAATATTCCCCTACCTTTGGAAATTTGAGTTTTTTCCTAAAAATCGATGATTTTTTGCAAATTATTTTTGAGTTCAAATCTGTTCCCTTGGATAATGAAGCAAAAATTCCTGGTTACCTACCAAACACTCATTTTCATTTTCTTTTTTTTCTCCTTTTATTTTATTGTTTTTACATTTACTTAGATGTATATACATTGTTTGTGCCATCTCCGCCACCAACCCCTCACCTCCCCAACCCCCTACTCTCAGGCATAACCTGTTTTGCCCTCTTCTTCTCCAATTTTGTTGAAGAGAAAACGTAAGAGATTATAAGAAAGACGTATTGTTTTTGCTAGTTTGGGTTGACGATACCTATATAGAAAGATTCCTAGCGTTGCTTCCATGCACTTGTGTATTGCAACCCACATTGGTTCATCTCTACCAGACCTCTTCGCTACTTTCTGGTCCCCTTCCCATAGTGACCTCTACCAATTTAAGATTACTTTAATCACTCCTCAACTGGTAGCACATCAACCACATTGAAGTTTTAGGTTTCCTTCCCTTTCCTTATTCCTCCCATGTGCATTCTCCCCTTAATGTGTGACCCATGTCCAATAATATTACTGCATTTGTTTTGAGTCTATAATCTGCATATGAGGGAGAACATATGATTTTTGGTCTTCTGAGCCTGGGTAACTTTGCTTAAGATGATGTTCTCTAGTTCTATCCATTTACTTGAGAATGATAAAATTTCATTCTTCTTTGTGGCTGAGTAAAATTCCAATATGTATAAATACATTTTTTTGATTCATTAGTTGGTTGTGGGACATTTGGTTGCTTCTATGGCTTGGCTATTGTGAATAGTGCTGCAATAAACACGGATGTGCAGGTGCTTTTGTGATAACTTGAGTCACATTCCTTTGGGTATATCCTTAGGAGTGGGATTGCTGGATCATATGGCAGATTCTTGTTTAGTTTTTTAAGAAGCCTCCATAGTGTTTTCCATAGTGGTTGTACTAGCTTACATTCCCACCAGCAGTGTATGAGAGTTCCTTTTTCCCCACATCCTCTCCAGCATTTGTTGTATATATGACAAACCTATAGCAAAGATCATTTTTTTCAAGCTTAACAATAAAATCTCAATTTTATTTGGAATGAAAATGTCCAGCTAAGACATGTTTTGAACCCTCCTTTGCACATAACATTTTGCTGTTATTTTGGGATTTTTATGGCTGAAGTTAAACCTAATTGATACAGAAAGCTTCCCTGATGTAGAAGATATGAATATTGCAACATTCTTCCTTTGGTTAGAAAATATGAATATTTTAAGAATTCACCCTTCCTATGGCCAAATTGCTTTCCAAACAGCACTTTGTACTTCCAACAAAAAACGTAAAGTCAGATTCTGACCATCACATAGAACCCTTTTTAGTGGAGCATTATCAATGAAATAAGCTTAAAATAGAATCTTATTATAATTTTCATTTCATTTATTTGATTACTAGTAAGATTAAACATTTTCCATCAAATTCTAATTAGCTATTTGAAATTTTTTAATCATTAGGTTGTAGTTGTTAAGGCTTCCCACTGCCTAAAATGGTGCCTGTAAGCTCACCATCTCCCTTTTAGTGGATACAGTCTTTAGATCTGTCAGTACTTTCAGTTTCCTTACAGAGCCACTCTTTCCCTATAGTTTTTTTGCATATCTTTAGATTGCCTTTTCAAGCTCTCAGTGGACAATCTAATAACTTAGTTCCATAAATATTCTCCAAATCATTTCCTAATTGTCCTCATGTTTTATCTTCATACCCAGATCCAAAACTGTCTTAGCCCAAGAAGCAGGTTCCTAATAGGCAGGATCATGGAGGGACCCTGAATAAAGCAGTGAATCACAATGAATTAGTGCTGTTTAATATAGAAGTTACTTTGTCTACAGTTGTTAGGGAAATCAACATTTAGGGGCCATATGGTCTCACTTTTTAAACTGTTCAACTAACTCAGTTTTTAACTATTTAAATTGATATTACAATCAGTTTTTTCTGGGAGAGGGACTTGGTACTAATATCTGTGGAAAAATGACTAAAAAATTGCAGTCATGTACACATAATGATGTACAGGTCAATTATGGACTGCATATGCAAAGGTGGTCCCATAAGATTATATCACCAAGTTAGATTGCCATTTTCATTTTTGTATATACAATCTATGAATTTTACATGATGAAATCACCTAACAACACATTTTTCAAAACATATTCCAGTTGTTAAGCAGCACGTGGTTTCATTTGATCGACTCCACTAATTATTATTAAGCCAGGAGCAGATATAGTGTTCTGGTAGATACTAATTCTTCATAGAGAACACGTTTTTTATGGCCTAATATTACATGACTTTTGGAATTGTTCAAGTGTAAAAAAATTTACATGGTTGACTATTATTGTTCTATCTGAGAAAAATACCAAGGTTCAAAGGCCAGGAAATATTAGAGGGGTATCGGCTGTTATTTCAGATACTTTGTCTAAGAAGACCAGTTCCATCTTTCTTTTCTCTTCAGGTTAAAATAATAACAATTCAAAAATATCTTCAAAGCACAAGGCATCCATTTACAATATTTTCATATAATTGTTCATTGTAATAGTTTCCCTTATACAGAGAGAGAGAATTACAGAAGCTTAGGAAGGGACAAATGACCTAAGGAAAGAGTACTGTGACACAGAATATGTGAGACCAATTCTTGAGTTAACTATCATTGCTGGTGTGAGTTACTTAACTTACTGAGCCTTAATCTTAATGTAGAATGGCACGCTATTGCCCACTTTGTAGATATTGTGTCTTGTACTATTGTTATCCATCACAATCTGAACAATATGTAAAACAGAGTTCATGTGAAGTGGGCAAAACCTGAGTTGCCTTAGATGTAATCAATAGAGCTGACTTGGATAGTTATTTAGAGATGTCCTACATGAGGGTTTCCAACCAAAGAATGAATGCTGTGTTGAAATCAGCCTAGGCTCTACTCCTCAAAGGGTGTAGCTCTTGCGTTTCCAGAGGAAGACTGATGTAATAATTCCATATAGGTAAGTGGTAGCCTCCAAATGGATCTCTTATAATATTTTAGTTACTTGTTCTTGGCACATGATTTGTTTTCAGTATGAATGGAAGTGACCAGCTCCCTCACAAAGTGAAGCAAAGCTAAAGTTATTAATATGTATTTTATAACTGTAGTTCTTATCTGGGGGCATGCATTCAGGAAGCACAAATTGATTCATTTCAGTTATAATATCACTTAAATATGAAAATTGCTCCCCCTTTTGTTATGCTCTTGAGGGATTATCAAACCAGCTACTGCATTTGATATATCAGTGTGCAATGATAATAGTAGACCTGGAGTAAGCAAAATGTTCAACTAAATTTAAAGTTGTGACTTAAATTGATTAGTTTACATTTAATGTTCATCAGACCATTCATACTATTTCCTAATTTGATCCTCGCAAGAACCTTAAGAAGTACATGCAGTCATTATTAACCTTTCTTTTTATGTGTTTAGTGCAATACTTGAAAAATAATCAAGCCTTAATATGTGTCATATATAAATCCTATTTTATTTTGAAGGAAAATGAGACTAAAATGTAAGGCTATTTATTCGTGGTCACACATATTGACATATTAGTTCATGGTAGACCAAGGACTTAAGCAAATATGTTAACTCTTTATTTGATCATTTGTCAAAAAATTTAATTAAAAAAATTTTATTGGTCAGCTAGCAAAAATGAACTTCCACTTCCAGGCATGAAGCACCCGGTAATTTAGGGCA